CCCCAAAACCCCAAAACCCCAAAACCCCTTAATGATTATATCGATAAAATTTGTTAGAACAAAAAGATGAATCAATTGGGATTATAGATCATGTCGAAGCTTGTATTAAAAGCTCTGTATCTCTGTTTGTCAAGCCATGACATACTCTAGATTTGATTGTCTTTTTAGGACTTTATGTGTTCATAGCCCAAGTTATAGAAAGCACTGCTTAGGAAAGCATTGGTTCTGTGATGCTCCATATCTTATTCCTCAAACTTCGATTTCAGCTGTAGCAAGTCAAGTTACTTCTCTCTGTGAATCTAGTTTAGTCTATCAACCTCCTCTTTGTAGCTGTCTTCAATACTTCTGACCTCGTCGTTGAGTTTTTGCTTGAGTTGGTCTTCTTTGATTTTGAATTCCTGCTCCTTAGAGGAGTGTAGCTTTTCATACTAATTCAGTTTATTTTGAATCTCTTATTTCTCCTAAGACCATTTAAGTTGATCCCTCTCTGTTTCTAGCTTTAAAATAGTGAATTTATTCTGAATATCAATGGCAGTCTCATTGTTAGAGCTTCTCACATGCTAGTTCTCGTCTTGGATTTACCTTAAATTCTTCTCAAGGGTGTCATTATCTTTAGAGAGTGAAGATAGTTTAAGTTCAAAGTCCATAACTTAACTCTGGAGTCTTATTTTCTCCTCCTGCAGTTTGAGTGATTATTCTCTTTCATCAGCTTTTTCTCTGTGGACTTTTCTGATCTCTTCTTCAAGTTTTAACTTTTCTTCTTTATTGGTTTTCAGATCTGCTTCAATAGTTTTCTTTTACTCTAACTTCTTAATTAGTTTCTCAAGTTTTTCTCTTTGCTAATCTTTTTCTATTTTAAGTTTGAGAATCTCCTTATTCATGTCATGCTTCTGCTCTCTTTGGTCATAGTCTAAATCCACTTTATTCCTAAGACCATCAATTTCATCTTCCAGCAGTCTTATCTTTTGTTCTTTTAGATCTATTGAGTTTTTATACTTTTCAATCTCTTGAGAAAGATCAATTATCTTTTACTCCATAATAAGCACTTGCGTGTTCAATTCACTTTGATTTTCTATTCTTAGCACTCTGTTCTCATTTTCTAAATCTCTGAGTTGCCTTTCTAGTTCATTCACTTTTTCCTGCAAGTCCTCCTCACCAATTTTCTAAAAATCAGTTAAGCTGCTTCGAGCTAGTTTCGAAAAGCCTTGGTTTTCCTCGTAGACTGATAGCTTTGATTAGGCTATTTCCAAGTTTTCTCTAGCACTCTAGTGCTACTTCTCTAGTTAGGCAAATTTCTTCTCAAGCTTGGCATTTTTATCTGAAGTCTCTTTGTGAAGTGACTTAGACTTCTCAAGTTCTAGTTACTGCATATGGTAGTCTTGCTTGGTCTTCTTCAGCTCTTCCTTCAAGAATTCAATGGCATTCTTATATTTCTCCGACTCCTTAACTTCATGTTCTAAAGTCTTAGTCTACATTGAAAGCTTATTGTTTTGAGTCTCATACTCATTTACTTTTTTCCTGAGATCTGTCACTTCCTCTATCATCTACTTATAGACCTCCATTTAAGCTTCCGATTTCTGTTGCTTCATTAGTCTTTCTTTCGTTTCTTAGATCTCTTCTTTATACTCTTTTATTTAAGTCTTAAAGTTATTCTTCTACTCTTCAATTTGATGTTTGAGTTCCTAGATTTCCTTATCTTTAAAGCTGATCTAAGCTTCTAATTCACCGATTCCTTTGAGACCTGATAGATCTAATTCTTATTTCGATCCTCTCATATCTCTCAATTCTTTTTCATAACTCAATTATTGAACCTACTATTCTAAATTCTTCAACAGAAGATTTTTTTCCTTCACTTCGTATTTGAGAGACCTGCTTTCATTCTCAACTTCCTAAATCTTTTCCCTAAGAAGCTTTCTTTCTCTTTCAAGTCTTTCGATTTAAGACTACATTTCTAAATGAGCTGTTGAATCTGATACTTGACTTGCTTCACTCATTTCGACCGACATTCTATTCAAAGCCTTCTCTATCAATTTCTTGAGGTCCTCTTGAGTCTTTTCATCTAAATTAAGCATTCTCTCAATATACTCCTATTTATCCTCACAATTAATGACAGTGCCCATAATAAGCTCAATGATGTCATAAAGCGTGCTTTGTTCCTTATCTATCACTAACTTTTCACTGTCAATTTAGGCAGTCTGGGAATTGATGATGCAGTCTAATTTCTGATGATAGTACTTGTCCAGACCAGATAAAATGTTGTTGAAATTAGATATAGATTAGTCATCACTGATAGGTCCTGTGAGAATTTTATTCCTGGGCCAGAACATGATATCTACTTTGTTTAGAACTTCAAATAGAGCTATTCCGTTATAGAGATCTGTAAAGGTGTCTGGGATGTGCTCAATGTTGAAGGAGTCGAACCACTCGAGTATGCTGCTCTGAAGAGAATCTATTTAGTGATATTCAAATGCTCTACTCATATTTAATTTGAAATATTATAAAATTAACTCATTCATACATCATATTCCCATCAAGCGGGGTTTTGGGGTTTTGGGGTTTTGGGGTTTTGGGG